GATATGCAAGGCCTGGCTTTAAGGCACAGGGCAGGCACACCCCAGGCTCTGAGCCCTTCCTCTGAGCCCTCAAGGGTTCCCTGTAAACACCTGTGAGATCTGATGATTTAACTGTTGCATTCAGGGACTTGACGGTGGCCCCCAAAGTACGTCATGTCCACCTAAACCCTGTGAATGTGACCATGTCTCTGCGTGGACCCAAAATCTAATGACATGTCACTATACAAAAAAAAGAAAAGATGGAGGAAGGACATGGAAAGGAGGCAGACATGAGAAGGATCAGAATGACATGTCTGCCAGCCACCAGAAACAGAGAGAGGCCTGGACAAACTGTCCCTCATCGAGCCCAGAAGGAACTAGCTTGCAGATATCTGGCAGAACTGTGACAGAATAAAGACCTCTGGTTTCCAGCCACCTGCTTCGTGGTGCTTTGTTTTGGCAGCCATGAAAACAAATACTAGTGTGTGTTACTTTCCACTTCAAAAATTAGGAACCAGAGAAAGGAAGAGAGAGCCAAAACTCTGGTTTTTCTCCAGCACGTGCTCCAAAGAGAAAATATGTAGCAAGACAGGGTGGGTTCATGGGGACACGCAAGACAAACTGAAGTTGTATGAGCACATGTGTATGAAGCAAGTGACAGACAGAGAGGGACAGGCAGCCTCTGCAGCCATTTCCTTCCCCCCCCCCCTTGGTCCTGAGTTCCACATCCACATCCCCTCTTCTCTTGGGCTCAACCAAGCATCTGTGGCAAGGAACAAGCCACAAAGTTGGCCACGGTGGAAGTGACTGGGCCACTCTCAGACCTGGCCTGGCTCTCCTCAGATCCAGGATCAGAATAGAAAGGCATCAGCCTTAAAGGCCAGCTGCCACATGGCAGGATCTGCTAGGTCTGAGGAGAGAATGGAGCCAAGTGTCCACAGATTGCATCACTGAGCAAGAGCAAAGACAGTTGCCAAGCTGAGGCTGAGGGTTTGCTTCATTTCTCTACCCAATGTGGTCACGGGTGGACAGTAAGCCATGAACAGGGGAAACGTGACCAAGCTTCTGTTGAGAGACAGACACTAGAGTGTGAGGGAAGATTGCTGTGGGCTCACGTCTGCCCTGTGTCCAACAGGCAGTCTTCAAGGTGGGAGCCAGCCCCAAAGGTTGTGGGGACCCAAGAATGTGCTATGGTGGGTCATGTGCTGAAAAATGTTTCTGCCTTGGTGTTCACACTTAGGGAAACCCATCTGTCACCCACATGGCACAGCTCACAATACAGGGCCAATAGAGCCAGAAACAAATTTCAGACAAGTCATAAATAAAAGCTGTCACTCTTGTGGGTGAAAACAAATCCAATCTGTCACAACTCTCTGCAGTAGCCCTGTGTGTGAAGCTAAGCTTTGAATTACTCTCTCCTAATCAGTACCCATGCCCTTCTTCAGCACAAGTACAATGCAACTTTGTCATCATCATCATTGTTGTGTTGCTGCTGTTGTTGTTTTTGTGGGGGGGGGGGTGTTGGTTTTCTTTTTTTTTTTTTTACAAACTGAGCCCTATTTACTTTTTCCATCTGAAGAATGAGACCTGGGTCATGTCCAGTAGGAGTTCACTGGGTCCCCTGCACTCTCTCCCCAACCCTTTCTCCTCTTCGAAGGATGAGCTGCAGCAGGCCTGGGGGAGAGAACTCTACACCCATTCCCAGTCAGGCATGAAGCATAATGAGGAGGAAGAATGAAAAACTGGAGCTTGAGCTTCCTCCGACTCCATCAATCCAAAACTGAAGAATGAATACTAGTGAAGACTCTGGGTTCTGGTTTCTAGGGCTCTGTCCTCTGCAGACACAAGACACCCTCCTGGATGAGACCACAGAGCAGAGCTCAGCCTTCCTTGCTCAGAAAATTTCAGGTCAATTGCTATCCAATCAAAGCCCCATTTGTGGTAGGATGGGGGGAGAGGTCTTAGGGAGATGGTTTCCAGGTTCTTGGTGTCATGAACCAAGAACTGAGCAGGGTATTCAGGAAGAGTAGCAGGGGTTAGATTTGCTAAAAGTAAAGACTTCACAGTAGACAGGGGAATCACTGGGTTGCTAACATTCTCTGGTTCTGGGAGAATCTTTGACTGCAGATGGACAGGAGAAGTCATAGCCCAGTAGAGTTCCTAACTTGGCCCACCAGTCTGGAAGAGGAATTGTGACAATATCAGGTTCTCAGAGAAAGTGACATGTGATCAAAACCCATGGAGGAGGGGAGTCAAAACCACAACACAAATGAGGTTTGAGCAAGGTCTGGTCACGTGCTTATTGTTTTGCACACCCTGGGGCACTGGGGGACAGGATGACCTTTATCTATTGGTTTCCTGATGTTTGACACAGTCATTTGTGCTGTCTGTTTTCTCATTTCTTGCCCCTTATATTCCCCTTGCTACTGGTCCTTGCTCTCCCTCCAACTTCATGTTCTCAGGTGGTCACAAGAACTGCATGCATAGGAAGGTCCAGCAGCATGGGCTCCCAGGCATCAAGACAAAATCACAAGCATGATGTGGACAGCAGGGCATGCTTCCAAGACAGTGGGGGGCAGGTGACCTGAGGTCAGGATGGGAGGTGATCTTGGAAGGAGGTGCTCTGTAGGGTAGCACTGTGAAGGCTTTGCTGTTGGGTCTCTCCAGAACCAGTGATCCTGGCAGCCTGCTGCATTTCAGGACATGAGCCCAACAAGCTTCCACTTGCAGATCACTGGCGCCTCATTTGTGGGATCACATGCTGAATATATGGGCTGGGTTACCTATGGGGCCTCAGCCTTGAAAACCACACAGCTATTGCCTGAGATAGCAGAGCACAGCTCCAGGACACTTAAAGGACTGCTGAGCAAAGACAACTCAGCCCTGAAGTGTCTGCCCTCCTCTCCCCAGTAGATCGTTGTCAGCAGTCATTTGGTGGCATGAAGTGGGGATGCCCCCATTTGCACCTCTGTGGCAGATGCTACATGTGCCACAGTTCACAGCAACTCCACATTTAAACTCACAGCCATTTTCCTGTTGGGCTCTGGGGGTTTTTCACTATCACAGCCCTGCAGCAGATTGCTGAGAGTCCCTGAGTTGTTGAGATGGAGGAAGCGCGCACACCTGTACCCACAGAGACATGCCAGCCCTCACCTCCTGAGCAAACTGCTAACACCTGCTCAGATTTGGCTCCACCATGCTCAGGCATGGAGGCCGTAAGGCATGTCCACAGGGCCTTCCTGCAGAGGCTGCCTTTAGAGGGTGTAGTCCAAGGTATGGGGGCCTGGATGGTGTAGGGTGACAGTGTTGCAGGGGTCCCAGTTGGGTCAGACAGCCTGTGCCATCTTGTCCTCCCCTCTTTCTCCATAGAACCAAAACCCGGGGTCCCATCCCAGTTTCTGCCTGCCACGGGAGCTGCCCTGTAACACTTCTGCCCAGCCAAAACGCGCGTCATGATGCTCACGGGATCCTCATTAGTCAGTGTAGGAAGGACCAGGGTCTGTGTCTGTACCACAAGTCCCCATAAGGACCAGGGAGGGCACAGAGCTGAAAACAGCTGACGTGCCATAAAGCCACAGGCTGCGTTCGATCTTGCTTCAGCTAGTGAGAGTTAATCGGTATGACTGTTAATGAATGGAAGCTAACAATGAAAATCGATGCTGGTGATGCTAAGCGGGTGGCAGCGTCCAGATTAACAGCCTGAGCAGAGCAAAAGGGCGTCCCGACTTCGGCCATGCGGGGGCGCCAAAGGACAGGCGGTGGGCCGGGCTGGTGCAGAGCCTGGGGCCCTCAAGACAGCAGGCTGGGGGTGGGAGAGGTCGGGGAGGGGTTTCAGGACAAGGGAGGGTCTCAGGGTATTGCTGGCAAGAGGTGGAGAGGTTGCTGGGGAGATGAGGAGCTGGGGTGCAGGTTGCTAAGGAGCTCCAGGGGAGGAGAAACTGGGGGAGAAGCCAAGGCACCAAGGTGAGAGGCAGAGGCCCAAGGATGAGGCAACCTGATGGGGTGTGGCTCCAGAGGAGCCCCACATCCCGCAATAAGGAGTCACGGGGTGAGGATCCCAGCCCTCCCCGAGCTTGCTCTTGAGGGCAATGGAAAAATACTCAGTGCATCAGCCCAGGTCCACAGAAGCCCCAGGCTTGGGTCAGAGTCTCCAGCTAAACTCCACGGCCAACTGGGGCAGTGGACTTCCTACAGGAAATGCTCGGGCTGTGCAGGAGACTGGAGGGGAGCTCGAGTGACCTTGGGCAGGTCCCCTGTCTCCCAAGGCTTAGGGGAAGGGACAATGGGCACATTATAGGGTGAGGGCCTGGTTGGTAAAGGAGGAGGAGATGGGGCTGGGTACTGTGTTAGGTCACCTATACCCCAGTGCCTGGTGGTTAGGACAATGCATCTCAGGCTGGCAGGTCCAAGTACCCCTTGCAGACAGGGATCCTGGGGTACATCAGGGGTCCCCCAGATGTATTCCAGCGTGTGGTGACTGTCCCTCTGGCTGCTCATCCTTCTCTTGCCACAATGTGACAGGGCCCATACCTTCCAGGCTCAGGTGTTTCAAGGTTCCAGTGGGTCATCTTGAAAGCTGAGGCCACCTCCCAGGGCTCCCAAATACACCATGAAATCCAAGTCAAAAGGAAACCACTGGGCTCCTGACACAGGTCTCAGGCTCAACTTTCTCCTTCTAAAACCTCTTCAGTTTCAAAAGTCACCCTTGTCCCAGGGTTGGGGTCTCCAGACAATCCCCACCCTTCCAGAAGAGGGAGGACAGAGTCACTAGACACAGCCATGGCTGGGAGCCGCACGTACCCTGCACCTTGTTATGGAAACTGGAGTCTCTCAGTCTCCTGGCTGAGTGCTAGATGGATGCACAGGGTGCCCCTGCACTTGCAAGGCTCCCCCCACAGTCTGGATGGGATGCAGGTCACACAGGAAGTATAATCTTTTCTAAGAGGGATCTTTTCTGGAGTGGGCAGGAAGCCAGAAAGAATGCTGACCTCTCCTGAGTGAAAGGCACAGTTGGTCCCATCCACTGGGCTTGGTTTTGTTTTATTGAGCTTAACACAGGTTTACAGTTCACAGGATACTCACAGTGGACATCCACAAAACCAGCACTCATATCAAGAAATGGACTAGGGACATAGGTCCAAGAAGCAGGCACCAGTTTCCGGCTGGGAGTAGGAACATTTTCCCTGGGAGAAGGGGCCAAGGGCGGCCACAGGGAGTGTCAAGCTTCTACAGGCCAGCAAGGTTCAGCTTAAACATACAGAGCAGCCACAAGGCACAGATAGTCACAGACACCCAGAGCCAGAAATCCTGGCGCCGCTCAGAGCGGGGCCTGCGACGAGCCCTGCGGGGGCCAGCACCTTCCTCCATGATGGACATGCTGGACCCAGACCTCAGCCATCTCCTCTTGTAGTGGTGGAAGGTAATGAAGCCATGGCGCTGGGGGTCGCTAAGGCCCATGCTCCCCACTCTCCTGAGGACTGAGGGTGGGATGGTGATGGAGCCCTGACTGATGACACCGGACACTGGGCCCTCTGCACTGGTTCCCTTCTCTCTCCCTCTGGCAGTGTCACTAAGAGAGTCATTGCCTGGGGCGTTGTCAGTAAAGGTGAAGGGGAAGGTGACAGGGCTGCCCTTACTGGCAGCACGGTTCTCTGAGTGTGTTTCCAGAGGGGAACTGTGACCATCAGTGGTGCAGCTCTGGGCACTATTTCCCTTCTCCCTGCCCTCAGTTACATGGGTGAGGCTGTACTGGCCCCTGAAGATGCTGGTTAGAGACAAAGGGAGAGTGATGGAACCCACCCCGTTGGGCAGGAGGCCAATGACATAGGACACAGAGGGAAAGGCATTCCCAGGAGCCAGGCAGCCAGCGCTGAAGGAGATGGGGCCCTGGCCCCTAGCAATGCCAACGGGGCTGGGTAGGGAGCCCTGGCTCCCAAAGAGGAAGCCTGGGAGCTCAAAGGTCTCCAGGATGCTCCCCGGGAGAGGGAAGATGGGAGCTCTGAAGTGCACTGGGATGCACAGGCCCTCGGGCACAGCCCTGGAGCTTCCTGCTAGACAGATGGATCCCTGGCCAATGACGTCCCCGAGCTCAAGACCATGGCCATCCGCGGTGTCCAGGAGGGAGAAGGGAATGGTGACCATGGGGTCACCCTCGTCAAAGAAGTCGCTGTCCTCAGAGAAAGGCTCCTCCATGAAGTCAATCACCAGAATGGGGACTGGTTTGGGGTCTCTGGCATTTTTGGCCAGGGGGCCACTTCCAGGATGGAGTAGCTGGCTCTGGCCAGCTGCAGTGGCCCCACTGCCCTGCCCAGAGCCTCTACCTTGCAAAGCTTTCATGCTCTTGGTCAAGGGCCCCCTGGTGGGCTCAGGCTCCTTCTGGAGGAAGCAGATGCCCAGCTCACAGGCCTCGCAGCCATCCCCAGCACGGCTCTTGGAGCCCTGGCCTGGGCTGTCTCCATAGCAGGTCCGCAGGATGTGCAGGACCAGCTCTCGGAGGAGAGGCCGGATGTGGGAAGGGCTCACCTGGCATTCCCCAGGGGCGTCCGGTGGGCACAGCCTGCACTGCGGGCCCCACAGGCGCATCCTCACATGCCCCCGGCGATGATCCCTGTCCCACCACAGGCGGAAGAGAATGCGTACATGGGCAGAGCCCCAGGTCCAGGGACAGCGGTTGCACTGGAGCCTGTGGGGAGATGGGACAGGTGAGTGGAAGGGAAGGTACACTGAGCTGTGAAGAGGCCCACACTGGACCTCTAGGGCTCTGGTAGGTCCCACGTCCCCCATGCAAATCTCAAACTTCATCCACCAACCAGCAGGGAGGGCTGGGATGGGCCTGCACCTCCTCCCACCATATGCAAGCTCACAAGCTCCGGACCCCTGGGGCCTTTGCCTGCTATCTGCATCCATTTGCCTGCAGTCCCATGGTCTGAGGGACTGAATACAAATGTTTTCCATCGCTGGTGTGGGATCTGCCCACTGACATCTGCAAGGTACCTCTGCTGCTTATGGCTTGGGGTTAGCAGTTGTCAGATGTAGCCCACTGTGGGTGGACAGGGCAGGACAGGAGAGCAAGGCCTATGCCATGACTCAGCAGGCAGGGCTTTGGGAGGATGAACCCTGACAGGTCCCTATCCCAAAAGAAGGAGCAACTCTATTTTCTACTCATCAGCTGAGGAAAACTGAATCAAGGGCACCTGCATTCAGAGTATAGGAAATTTTGAGGAGCCCTGGGTAGGTTCAGCCTCGCATAGACCCACAAATGAGCACGATGGTGTTTGCCAGTTGATGGGAGCAAGACAACTGTCCCCTTGAGCAAGAGAAATCACGCTCAGGACCCTGGGAAGGGTTGAGCTGGATGCACTGAGGGTGGCCCTGAACAGTCCCTGGCCATGCAGGGAACTCTTTCCCCAGAACTTGTGGCTCCCTGCTGCACAGCTGCACAGTTGTGGCCTCCTGGAAGCCTGTCCTTGTAGGGGCCTTGGGGTGTTAGGATTGCCCTCCATCCATGTGGACATAGCTCCTTCCTGAGGAGCAGAGCTTCTGACTCCCTTAAGTCTAATCCTCAGGCCTGGGGAGCAGGGACCATTTCCCACCCCCAAACCCATCCTTGGCAGGTTGTGTGGGCCCCACCCCACTGTTCTAGGGCAGCTCTGCACCTGGGCTCTGAGGTAGTGATGCCTCACAGAGAGAAGCATCACTGCTCTAGAACTGAAACAGCTGGGACCCAGCATGCTCCTGCCCCAGGGATTCAAATGCTGAGGAACTATGGCATCCATGTCAAAAGGGAAAAAAGGGCCCAGGGACCCACTGAGTGACACCTGGCCAGTAGCCTAAGGGGAGGGTGCCAACAGAGCCAAGGATGACATGCAGGGTGGAGAAGCCGATGGCACAAGCCATGTCCCTGTTTTGCTGATAGTGCCTGTCATTGTGCCAGGAATGACCCCTGCAGCCCCCACTGCACCCAAGCCAGACTAGGGATGGCTCCCCAATTCCTCAGGCCAAGCACTACCCAGTTCCCACCTCTCCATGAGATGCCATAGCAATGCTGTGGGAACATAAGCCCTGCACATCTGAGGCAACATTGGCCAGCGGAGCCAGAATGAGCACAACAGACTCCATATCACCCACCTCCATTTCCCAGAAGGGACAGTGAGCTCTCAGCCCCACCCACCTGTTGAGGATGAAACCAGGCCAGGAAGAAGCCCTGATTCTGATCCCAGTGACACCTACCCTCTCATGGACCAGACCCAGCTAGGGTTGGTGGGAGACACCCCCAACCCTGTCCCACTCCCAGGGCCCCCAGCCCTCGCCTCACCTCGAAAGCCCCTTCAGCCAGTACTGGAGACAACTGTGGTCTACGTGCCCAGTGACCAGACTGTCCTGGGGAAGCAGAGCCCAGAAATCCTGGGGCTTTCTCTCAGCCATGAGTTGGGCAAAGGTGTCCGCCCACACATTCGCCCCAGTCCCGTCCATGCTGCCGCTGGGCTGCGCAATGCAGGCTGACCCGCTCAGACCCAAGGAAGCATCCTGCATCCAAGTGTCAGCCAATCAGCTGCCTTGACAACAGCATGATCTCCGTGGCAACCGGGTTTGTCTCAGAAACAGGAAGCAGAAAGGAAAATCACTGTATGACAAAATCACCCAGGATCCCACCACCCAGAGTTCATCAACCAGTATGACGCAGTGGGCACACTGGCATGTGTGTGCCAGTCTATGCGTCTTTCCTGCAAATATGTTCACTCACTCAATATGTTTCCTGCAAATATGTTCACTCCCACTCAATATGTTGTGGGAGGTCACAAAGACACACCTGTGGAAAAGCAAGACCAAAATCCTTCACTCTGCAAATCAGGCCTCAACAATTTGGGGACATCCAGTGGCTGAAGAATGGTCTTGTCACAAAGACTGTTTGCCCCATACCCATTAGGTCACAGGACTATCAACCCCATGCCAGAAATAATCTCTCATCTGATCTTGCTGAATGCCACAAAGCTCATAGCCCTGGCATAGGTCTGCAGCCATGGAAAAGTTTGCCTTCAGATTCCTTCATGTAGTTCCCCCTCCTGAACCCTGGCCATTTCTCAGAGCATGTATTTTGATAAACTTCCTTAGGCATTCATTCTATGCCTGGCGAATTCCTTTACCACCTGCCCCATGGCCTTTCACACACTGCCTGGCACAAAAATCTTGTCCCAAAGCCAGCTTTACATTGTACGCATCACAAGCAGTGCCCTCATGTACCCTCTAAGAGTCTGGTGTTTTGCTCTTCCTGCCTTTATCCTGAGCACTGTGGAGCAGGGTCTTCCCACCCCAGGCTCCAAGACCCCAGACTAGTGCTGCCTGGCCACCTGTTTCCCTTGTGGTGGTCGCACCACCTGAGTGGAGCCCTAGGCATTGCAGTTTGGGCTGCTACCTTTGTGTGTTCTAATGATGGGATGTCAGACCTTCACATTACGTGTTTTGTGCATGTTCCTGATTCCGCCTGACCTTCCAGGTTCTCAACGAGATTCACCCACACCCTGTGTATAGCAGTAGTTTGTCAGGACACAAGACAGAGCAGGCTGCCATTGGGCAGAGTGGGACAGCTGGGTTGGCAGGTACAACAGAGTAGAGTGGCCTGGGCAGCCTGTACAGAAGAAGGCATCCTTGGGAGAGGACACAGAGCATGGCACCTCCTCTGTCAGAGTCCCCAGGGCGCTGCAGGCACAGTCAGGGCCCTGGCTCAGGAGGCACTGAAGATGAGGTACTCAGTGCTGCTCAGCATCAATCCATCTATGGCTGCAGATGGGATCCAGGGTGACCAAGGCCATGAGATGTTGGCTCAGGATCATGGAAGTACTGAACCTCTTTTGTTTCCAATACCCATGGGCAAGAAGTTCATGCAGACAGCTGCCAGGCAGCCAGCAAGGCCACATCCAACAAAGACATATTTCTAGCCCTTGGAGGTGGCTAAAAGTACAGATCCCCCATGTGACTCAGTAGGCTCCTAGGAGACTCTGGGCAGCATGACCCCATACAACATCCATGGCCCCTGAGGGAAGCAGTAGCTGTATGAGGCATCCTGCTTGTCCAGTGCACTCCCATGTCCGTCCAGTGCATCCGGCTTGTCCGTCCTAACCTCCCATGTAAACTGCCAAACATCAAGGGCCACTCCTGCCACTCCTGGGTAGGAGACAGCTCTGCTCCAGCCCAGGCCAGGTCACCAATGCTTATTGCCCTGCCCCTGGCTGAGCCCAGGATGCCTGCCCCTCACCTACCCAACTGCCTCCCTACAGATCCTTCCTCCTCTCACTCTGATCCTATCCCATCCGCAGGTCATACCATCTGTTTCTCTGGCTCTGACACTGCCATCATGCAGATGTCCCTAAAGCTATCTATACTTCCCAAGGCTGGGGCAGATCCTATCCACCTCCCTCTGGCCCCAGATCATACACAGGACCCCTACCTGCCCTCCAATTGCCTCCTCTTAGCCACTCTCCTAATAGTCACCTCTCATGAAGTGACTACCCCACATGAATTGGTTCACCAGTTCCCTCTTCCTCTTTGTCCAGTCTGCAGTTAATTTAGTCCAAGGAGTTTTTGTTGCTACATTTTTCACCCTGAAACCTCTTTTCAGCTCCCTTTAAAACAAGAAACATCATCCTCCCCTTCAGTTAAGTGTGGCAACAATCCAGAGAGGAAAACCTCTGAGATGTTCCCCAGGAAAAGTTTCTTAGTGTGGGATCAAACAGCTGAGCAGCCCTATTGTTCATTCGACTTTTGCTTTCCTTTGTGCATCAGGGGAGAGACAGTGGTCAGTCCTCTAACAGCCATGAGTATCCTTGAGACCAGAAGCCAAGTCCTGAGGGAACACAGCACCAGAAACATGGGTCCTGATGACAATTGGCATCACCACACTTCTCTTGAGTCACCTATCTCCGAATTTCCAGCTCAAGGGAGAATGTGCCAGCTGTCATGTTCCCTGAAAGCACTGTTCTCTGAGGTTCTGATCATCACCTTGCTTGGCTTGCAGCAATTCAAGTGAAAACCTAGATATGGAGTTAGTTGATTGATTCAGGTCATCATGTGGGGTTCCTGGAGGACTTGGTCATAGCCATGCAGGGTCCAAGCAAACAGCTGCTGCCTGCTCCTCTCCCCAGCCATCACCCACCAGCCCAGAGTCTCTGTTGCTCTGCAGGCTCCATCATTCCCAAGACCCAGTCAGGCCCAGTGCTAGGAAAAGCCTCAGAGATGGGACTGGTCACTACCCAGAGCAGCCTTAAGGACCCCAATGCCAGCCCTTAAAAAGTGTAGGAAACAGTGTATCCCAGATTTCTCCAGACTCCCAGAATAGCATTGAAGAAGCAGTGGCCACATACCCACCAGGACATTAATCCACAGACAGGCCTGACAGAGGCCACTTCCATGACAGCCAGCATAGTGACCAGCCACAGATACAGTCCAGTATCCTCTGTGGTCTGTGCTTCAAGCCTCCTTGCAGGTCCCTGTCATGCCTGAGGAGAGGACTCAGGGACCCTGACACTGTGGGCCCTGGGTCTCAGTGTGGAGTGAGCGACTCCTAGAAGAGACAGTGGGGAAGTCAGAGGCTGGCAGGACATAGGCACCTCCCTGCACTGTGTCACTGTGGCCCTTGGCTAGCGGCCAGCACAGTGTCAATCCAGCCAAGAGCAGAGTCCTTGCCACAGGGAGCCCACAGGAGGCTCTCACAAGGAGACCAGCAGAGTAGTAGAGACCATGTCTTGTCACTCACACGTGTGCATACTGACATACCAGAGGAAGGCTAGGCTGAAGCCCAGGTGGAACCCCAGAACAAGGATGGTCAGATGACCTATGACTTTGCTTCCACTGTGTGTGTCGGAGAGAGTGAGAGACAGAAAGACAGAGACCAAGAAAGACAAGACAAAAGAGCAGACGCAGAAAGGGGAAGGGAGGGGCAGGAAGAACTGTCTTTGTGGGAAGCACTGAACATACCTCTCATTCCCAAAGACTCAGCAAATACTGCTCAGCTACCACCTAGCCCATATATGACCCGGCCCAGGGCCTGCAGGGCCAGGGACCCCAGGGAGACAAGGCCCAGCCCCCACTCTTCTCCTAAGGACACTGCTGTCCAGAAAGCACAATCGCTACCCCAGAGGCCAGAGTCCTCACATATCTGCACACAATACACTCACCTGCATACAGGACGTAGCATACTCATCTGCACACACATGTACACACATACACACATATACGTACGCAAGTACCCACAAGCAAACACGTTTGAAAATTGAAACTTAAGTGCACACTTGAACTACTAAGCATACTTTAAGAAGTCAGCAGCAGAAAGGCAGGTAGGAATCACTTGTCCTACCTCCTCTCTAGGACTTTCCTCTGTATGGCAAAATGTGGGAACACCCCATTCAGCTTTTTCAAATTCAGTTCCTAAATTGGCAGAGGTATTAGCTGCTCTTTCTCTAACTTCTGGGAAATGTTTCAGACATATGAACAGAAAGTTTTTATTTGCAAACACTATTAACCATTTCCTGTTCCAACCTCAAGGCAGCTGTGAATCAGGCTGCATCTCCTGCCGGGCCTGGGCGTCCTGTGGGCGGCCACGCCTGGATGGGACTCACTGGGCCCACGGCGCAGATTGGGGCGCTGCTGCCACCCACATAGCACTACACAGAGGCAGTTTCAGAGTAGCCCCGTTTCCTGCACTTCCCCATCCTGTCCCTGTCCCCGGGGATGGAAACTTCCTGCTGCCTCCAGAGTACCGGGGATCCCCTGTCCCCTATTTTCCACTTTCTACCTGCAGTAGCTCATGGTTTCTAATCTTCAGGCTGACGCCTTGGAAACTGGAGGTCAGAGGCCCCGCGGGAGACTTCTACTGGGGCACAGGAAGCTCCCAGATGGGGTCCAGCCAGGGCCTCAGCCTCTTCACTGCCCCAAAGGAGGGATGCTTTTAGAACCTCCCAGAACACCTGCTGAGGCCACATGTGAATTCCTACCTGGCCTTAGCACACATATCCCCAAGGGGGTCCTCCAGCTGTGGTCTCAGCTCCCTGGTCTCACTGCAGTCCATGGTGTGAGCAATGTAGGTTTACTTAGTCACCCCTGCCCTGCCTTAGCACATCTGGCCATTGTCAGTTCCTGGGGATCGTGAAGAAAACCACTGTGATGTCCCTATGTGTCTGGGTGCAAATCCCAGGTTTCATTTCACAGTGTGTTCACAGGGTCTCACTGTGGTGCTTGAGTCTATATAGTGAGCCTGGCTCCCATGTCCCTCTTCACTCTAGGGCATCTCCCCACGGACACAAGGGACACCATGGGACAGAATCGTACCCTGATAATAGTGCTGCCTATAGTTCTGCAGAGTCCATGAGTCAGGCAGAGATGTCCCTTGTGGATGGCACATGTGCAAGGTATCAGCTAAAAGGGTGACATACTCAGGGAGCTGCCTGTTATCCTGGGCCCCCTTCCAGCAAGGGTGCCATCTGGCCACCCCATACTCAGTACAGAAGGGACAAGGTCCCTTAGGAAGAGGGCCTGGAGAGGGTGGAAAGCTCAGCCAGCCCCACCCTTCCCAGTGTCCTGCCCTGTCTTGGAGGAAGGTTACATCATGATCTGGGGCTGGGTAAAAGGGATCCTGACCAGAATCCACCTAGGCCCTTGCCACTGACAACTTGTGGAGAGCTCAGGTTCCTGATGTCCCAAAGACCCATGTTCCCCAAGTTCGAGGCCCAGAGTAGCCTCATTCAGTTCATTCACAGCACAGTACACTGCTGTCACCTCTGACACCGTTTTTCCACAACTGCTGCTATCAGTGCCACACTCACTCAGTCTGTCTGCACCTGAGCTGTCTAGTACCTCCCTCTAGGGTGCAGTGGGCAGAAGCTTTCCAAACTGCGGGTTATTTCTTATTTCAGACTCATTGCTAATATCAGCAGTTTCATTCCTTCTCCTTTCCACTCTGTGATGATGCCTTCAAGCAGGATGCAGTGAAATGACAAGCCCACCTCACAAAGGATGGCTGGGGCCTCAAGGGGTTGGGCCTGCAGCCCGCAGGAAGTGCCCCATCTGGAGGCTGAGGCCCTTGAAAACAAAGGGATGCAGTTGGCCAGGGATCTCAGTATGGACCGGAACCATGGAGGGAACCCAAAGGTGGGCAGTGTCCCAGGACCACAACCTTAAGGAGAAGGGTCTCTACTCTGCAGGACAAGGCCAAACTGGGGGAAGGAAGGTCCAAAAGCCCAGGCAGGAATCAAGGAGTAGGGGGACAGAGAGATTGTCTGGGGGGGAGGGGGACAGGAGGAAGCCACAGGCAAGGAAATGCACAAAAACTGCCCCAGCAAGGGTCAGAGTCAGAAAGACCCTGTGTGGGGCAGACAGCTGTCCCCATTTCTCTCCTCCCCCACTCCATCTCTGTCTCCCCTCCTGTCGCTGTCTCCCTCCTTCCCCGGTCCTTTCTCTCGCACTCCTCCACCCCTCCCTATTTTCCCCTCCCCCAGTTCTCTCCTTCCCCCTCCTGCCAGTAGCTCGCCCCACCCCTGTGGAGGTGGAGGAAGAGGGGGCGGGGGCCCAGGGCAGGTCTCCTCCCTCCAGCATGACTTGGGACAGTTTCCTTTCCGCTGCCTGAGCCAAGGAGGTTACAGCCGTTGACAAGAGGTACGGGTTGGCGCTTGGGCATGCGGATCTCTCAGGTGCCCTGGCCGCTCGCATGGGCAGTCCTGCAGCTGGGCTGGAGGCTGGGATGGCTCCTAGGTAGGTGGGCGCGCGGCGTGGGGCAGGCTGGGGCAAATCAGGGCCCTCATCCCTGTTGGCGAGGAGCAGTTCCCAGTCCTCCTAGACTGTCTTATGTGGCTTGGCATCCAGATGCCTTTTCTGGACTCTGACAGGGCCCCTCCTTACTGTCAGGCAAGCAGGACCCCAGCTCCCCTCAGCTAGTCTTGGATGCCAAGCAAGATGGGGTTATCAGCCGTCTGTGAGACCACAACCCTGGCTTAATGTCCTGGGGCCTGGACATCTCCGTCTGCACTATTTTCCTGGGATAGAGGCAGCCCCTTGGCAGGGCTGGTAGCTGCTGGTGACCATGATAAGAGTGGTTCCGAGTATGAACTGGAAGGAGACCAGGCACATTTCTGGGTGTCCAAAGCAGTCTCTGAGGACAGCAAGGTCTCAGTTCAGGAGCCCTGGCGTCTGCGCCTTTTGTAAAACCATCCTCCTGAAGGAGAAAGGACCCACCCTGTTTGTACTCCTCATCCCTCTGCCCTGGGCCACTTGCCTGGCATGGCAACTCAGCTGGGGGCCTGGTTTCTCTCTAGGCCTGGCAGGGTGTGTATGGGGTGGCAGCTACTGCAAGGACATAGACCGGGTGTCACCTACCCATCCATCTTCACATCCCAAGGTCCCATCCCTCACTGCTACTGGCTACTCTGACTCAGCCCTTTCATGCCCCATATGACCATTGTGCCTTCTCCTCGGGAACTTCTTGTCCCCCCAACGCTGGCACTCTGAGGAAAACCTGGGTCATTTCCATGACCCCATGGTGGACACAAACTGGAGACGGTAGTCCCAGGGCCCAAGGGGGGCCTTGTTAGAGGTGAGATCCAGAAGGCATCGATCTGGGCTACCCTGGCTCCAACTGTGTGGGTGGGATTCACATGGTGGTGGCAAAGTAATACCTCCTCATCATGTCCCCAGCTCACTACTCTGGCTGCAGGAATCTCTCATCCCTGCAATCTTTCTTCTGAATCTGCTTAGTGTATTTATCTTGGTATTTCCTGTGGGCATCCCTCGCTTACAAGTGTATTGTACTGTTTCATGAGATGCTCCCATCTTGGAATGGGAGGAAGTGAAACCTGGACCTGTCCGAAAGAAAACTGCCCTGGGTAGCTTTGGGCCTCCAGCATTACACTGCAGAATCTGGGCCTCGAATTAGCAGCCACTGTGACAAAGCCAGGAAGGCTGTGCCTTAGGGTTCTCAGGCTGAAGGACTGAAGTCAAGGTGTCCGTGGAGTACACCAGCAGTGTCCCTCTGAGCTCTGCCCTCATCCATGTATTTGTATAGCCATGCACACATCGGTGCCCACCCTATTCCAGTGTGACATCCTCCTGAACAATTCCATCCTCCTGAACAATTCCATCCTCCTGAACGATCCTGAGCGTCTTCCTGAACACACCAGTTTGGGGCACAATCCCACCCACTGCGGCGCACAGGACTGTGATGTTTGACCCCTTGTGTGCTGGCTGCAGACACTGCAGCCCACTGCTTTCCCAGCCAGAGCTATAAAGTTCCTTGGGGCTCCACACAGCAGGAGCATCTCTTGAGTTGGTTTGCCCTGCTGGGCTGCTCCTCTGGGGACAGGATAATGCACAAGAGAGCTTTTGGGTCATCAGAAGCCCCAAGAGTCCACTTGGCCATGCTTTTAGTACCTCCAGATGGTCCTGCTGATATAAGTTGTGGGTAGCCATTGTGAAACATGCCGTCTGTGATATCACTTCTGAGCTTTCTCCTTCCTTGGTCTGAGATACCATGTCAGTCCCCTGAGCTTTCTCAGAAGAAAGCTTCTGAGCTTTCTCCTTCCTTGGTCTGAGATACCATGTCAGTCCCCTGAGCTTTCTCAGAAGAAAGCTTCTGAGCTTTCTCCTTCCTTGGTCTGAGATACCATGTCAGTCCCCTGCATGGCTCCCAGGAATAGTATGGAAACACCCCAGACTTCACTTTCCCCAGGAACAAGCAACAGCCACTTCTGACCTGCTGAGAAGCCAGGAGGCTTCCTGGAGGAGCCAGCTGTCTATGTCTGTTTCTGTTGCTGTAACTGAACACAACAGGTCTATACAAAGAACAAAATGTTCCACTCGAATTCTAGAAGCCAGGAGTCCAAGGAAGAGCCCACTTCCAGACACTATTAGCTCATGACTTTGGCAGTTAAGGGCCCAGCGCTGAACTCTGGAAAAACAGTAAACCGTAGCCTGGCCCTCAGTGGGAGCTCCAGGCAAGATGTACTGGGACTAGACAGGCTGGAGTCAACAAGAGGCCATTGTCTCCTCAGCATCCCTATGCTAGGTTTTCTGGGTAAGAGTCTTGGTACAGGTGAGGGGGTATGGCATTCTAACCCCACCCTCAGCCAGCAAGCAGGGGGCAAGGGGACATCTAGATACCAATCCTGAGAGGTCCCCAAGAGGTCCCTGATACCAGGGTCCTGGTTCAAGGCCCACTGGTGAAGAACAGAGTGATCCAAACAGAAAAATGAATGGGAAGGCTTGGACTGGGCCAAGACTCACAGGAGAGGGTCCCCCATAGGAGGGCAATGGAAATCCCAGGAGCAGCCGAGGCCACCAAACTGTGACTATTCAGGCTTGGGAGGCAAGGCCAGAGCCATGGGAACATAGATGAAGACCAGCCCAGGGCCAAGAGAGCTGAACAGGCACCAGAGCCCACCCGGAAAGCAGGGCCTGTGGAAGAGGGAAGGAGGCCCTGCTCTTGGACTCCCTGAGGTAGGCTTCTCACCCAGCCTATCCAGTCATCTGGTGTTGAGAATGTGGGGATCTGTTTGAAGGCTCTGATAGTGAGGCCCAGGCCTGGCAGTGGACTTGGAGGTCAGAGTGGTGCATCCAGACTGGGGGTCAGTTTGGGAAGGGACCGTGGATTTCTGGCCACAGTGGAGGAGACCACAGATGTTACCACCCTGGTTCAGCCTTCAAGGGGCCTTTGCCAGGGAATGGAGTGAGGTTGTGTCAGGCCCAGAGCCAAGACAGCCCCAGAATAGATCCAGAGGCATGGAATCTGGTGCAGCCCAGATTACAGATTTCAAGGGAGCCAGGAATGGCTCTGAGAGTCCATGGTGGGTTCTTGGTACGGTGGGGCACCAGTTTAGGATCCCTGGCTTCTGAGCCCCTGTTAGCTATCCTCCATGAGAAGAAGGGATGCCTCTGTCCATTCCCCTCATCCTTCTATCCCTGGGCCACCAGCCTGGCCTGAGAACTCAGCATGGAGCCCATGTTCCTTCTGGTCCTTGCAGGGCATGGGGTAGGTGGCAGCAACCACTATAAGGATCCAAACAGGTGACATCCATCCATCCAGTCATCCTTGTGTCCCAGAGGCCCCAGCCCTCACCATGCTGGCCTCTCCCTAACTTGGTCCCCACTTTTTTTTTGAGATAGGGTCTTTGTAATGTAGTGTGGCCTTGAACTCACTATGTAGCCCAGATAGACTAGAACTCTGGGCAATCCTCCCACTGAGCCTCCCAAGTGCTGGGATTACAGGCATGTTGTGCCATCACAACTGGCCAGACTCAGTTTCTTCATGTCCTTCTAGGAGTGGAACTGAGGCCTTGAACATGCTAGGCAAGCACTCTACAACTGGCCCTGACCTTGTGATCCTCCTATCTCAGCCTCATGAGTAGCTGGGTTTGCAGGAACGCATCACTCTAGTGGGTTATCAGAGGTTTTAATTTAACTTCCATATTTCTTGAATTACTATGGGAAGAAGATACCTGCTGGCAACGTCAAGGGAAATTCCCAATGAAACATGTTTGACGGTATGGCATGACCTGCTAGCTGTGTGTGGTGGGAGAGTCACAGGCAGAGGAAACATCTGTTATAGCCTGTGGGATCTGTGTTACCCTCAAAGTATGAGTGACTTGATAGAGGGCACAGCCCTGCATGGCAACCCATTCCTGTCTGTGCATCACAGGCAGATGGCAGGAAGGAGGGAGACTGAGCTGGGTGAGTGTGGCATCTCTTCTGTAGCCCAGCTGCCACTTGGGATCCCTCACCTGCCATGGACAGATTCTTCCAAATAGCCACTTCCTTCCTGAACAGGAGCATTGGTCTCAAACATCCATTCCCCACTACGAGGCCAGTCCTCAAGCTGTCCCTAACCCTAACCTTAACCCTACACTGCAGAGTAGGGCCAGGACCTACTCTTTGTGGCCCTGGGGACCTATACTACCCTCCAGGACCACACTGCCATATGGGTCTCCCCATTCATGTTGAGACCCCCACTGCCTCCACCTGCCCAGCCTACTTTGTGGTGATCATTCCCCCACAAGGGCAGGGAAGCTCACATGAAGACCACCCAAGAGTCTATGGGGGCTGGCCTAGTCTGCCTGGGAACAGCAATCTGAGGTCAACAGGGAAGGCAGGTGAGGTCCTCAGAACAACACTGACCCAGGGTCAGAACTGGAACTCTAGACAGAGTCAAAGAAAGGCCCTGCCATGAGGTGAGGTACAGAGGAGAAATGCAGGGCCTGCCTGGCTGCCCTCATCCTCATCCTCGTTTCTCTCTCTCTCTCTCTTCTCTCTCTCTCTCTCTCCTCCCCCCCCTTTCTCAGAGCCCCCCGACAGGTCCTGCAGTCCCTCCTTTTCCCCAGCGCAGCTCTCAGTGCCCGAGGGTGCCAATGCTACCTTCACCTGCAGTTTTTCCAACTCATCAGAGCACTTTGTGCTGAATTGGTACCGGCTGAGCCCCAGCAACCAGACCGACAAGCTGGCTGCCTTCCCTAGGGACAGCAGCTTGGATCCACGCTTCCAGGTGGCCCCGCTGCCCGACGGGCGAAGCTTCCAGATGAGTGTCCTCTCTGTGCAGAGAAATGACAGCGGTGTCTACCTGTGTGGGGCCATCTCGCTGCTGCCCAAGGCAGAGATCAGGGAGAGCTGCCGGGCAGAGCTCACGGTGACAGGTAGGGCAGGGCTTCTCACCTGAGAACCCCCCAGCTAGCTGATGGAGGGCGGGCAGGGCCCACAGGAGAGGACAGCATGGGCAAGTCTGTGAATGCTGTGCCTGGCCCTCTTGCAAACTGTAGGCCAGGCCAAGGTGTCAGTCACTACAGGCTCAACAGGGTCAGCCTTCACTCCTTCGAGAGGAAAGGTGGGTGCCCCTGCAGAGTGTGGGGACACGCTGCAGAGTATCTCATCACAGTCCCTGACTCTTGTCTTTGGGGTCCCCAGAGAGAGTCCTGGAGCCCCCGACAGTGCACCCCAGTCCCTCACCCAGGCCGGCGGGCCAACTTCAAGGCCTGGTTGTTGGGGTCGTAAGTGTCCTAGTGGCCATCCCGGTGCTGCTGCTGCTAGCCTGGGTCCTTGCTGCTGTGTTCTCCAAGACTGTTCCAGGTAAGTTTGTTACAGATGTGCTACTTCCTCCAGACCTCATACTTGTCCATACCCTTGATGACCTCTGATTCCTGTCCAGTGCCCAATGTTTTCTCCTTCAAAGCCATGTAGCTGACCACCATGAGGTGCTGCATCACCATAATGCTGCACACACACACACACTCACACACACAAATGTCCTGTCCCTCGTGAGGGGCTACATCAGCACGCCTCTACACATACACATATTGCCAGGTATCATGTGGGCACAGGGATTGTGGCCCTGCAGCAGGCATAGGTGTGCTGATCTTTGTCCAACTGAGGCTCCCACTGCACTTGGAGGCTTGTGATCTGAGGGAAAACATGGCATTCCTCCCCAAGACCCACTCCCTCCAGACCTGAGAACTCAGGCCCTACTGATGCTGGCCCTACCCAGATGGGACCTTGGCTAAGACCCTGTTCCTGGGAGGAGAACTGGCATCAGCCACTTGATTCCAACTGTGCTTCTCTGCAGAGGCCGAAGGAGCTGGGAGCAAGGAGCAGCCCCTGGTGAGTCTGGCCTCTACCAAGGGGCACATACAACACACTCAGATTTTCACCTCCCACTCAGCCCTTCCCAGGGCCCTAGATCAGGGTCTTGGTTGCCTCCCTCCTACTGTACCCTGAGGACCATGAGGTTGTTTGTCCTATACCGGGCAGGAGGGAATTGGAAAATATGTCAGAATCCTGAATCTGCAAAACTGTAGGACAGTTTAGAGAGGGAAACTGAGCCAGAGATGAGGGACTGTGTCTGCAGTCACACAGAGATGGGGAATGGTGGGCACAGCCATCAGGCCCCAGGGCTCAGTACCTTGGCTGTAGCTGCTCTTAGAAAAGGGACAGGGTATTGGGGCTGTGGCGTCTGGCCATTTGTGGGACTCTGCACTGACACCCCTTCTCTCTCCCTAAAGAAGGAAGACCCTTCAGCAGTGCCCATCTTCACCATGGACTATGGGGTACTGGACTTCCAAGGGCGAGAAAAGACCCCAGAGCCCCCTGCCTCCTCTGTGCACACAGAGTACGCCACCATTGTCTTCCCCGAAGGGCTAGGTACCTTGTCTCCAGGCCGCAGGGGCTCAGCCAATGACCCTCAGTGTCTCCGGCCTCCAAGGCAGCAGGATGGACACTGCTCCTGGCCTCTCTGACTGGCTTTCTCAGACCTCCCCATCCTGCAGGTCCTCTATAGAGAGCCCAGTGAAGGGTGGTTAAGAGTAGGGCATGTAGGATGCTGGGCCAAGACAGCATTGCCATGGCAAAGCTTGGCCATGACAGCCTGTGCCAGCCCCACGCAGGACACATCTCCCAATGCTCATCACCAACTGGGGCAGCCACATCCCTCTCCCTGGTGTGGAGGGTGGGCACAACCGTGGTGCCAGCCTGTTTGGAACAGAGCTGCTGGGCCCATGCGCCTGAGTGCCACAGTTATGCACGACCAAGGGCTTGGGCACTATTCCTGTGAGCTCCAGGGACCCTGGATGGAGACTATCTGGGCACTGCTCATAGCAAGGAATTCCCAGCATAAGTTGAGCGCAATGCCAGGGAGTGCCCACAAGGTGACCTTGCTGGGGCAAGGTCTCATGGGTCAGACCCAGGGATCTTCACACTCATCCAGTCCTGGAAAAGTTTTCACCAAAGAAGGCTGCAGTGAACAAGAAGTGGCACTAGCACCCTCATCCATCCACAGGAGTCACTTTGGCCCTCACACCTGCCTGGGAAGCTCTTCAGGCCTCTCTACAAAGGGAAACCAAGGCATGTGGGGAACAGCCAGCCTCCAACCCACTTGCTTCCAAGGACACATCTCAGCCCAGCCCTGCCTACCCAGGCCAGGGCACAAGACAGCGCCCCACGCAGCCATGGAAAGGGGAGGGTTCCAGGCAGGGCTAGGACAGTGCGGGCACCATCCTCATTCAGTGTTAGTTAAAGAGGCCTGGACAGGCTCCCACCCAGGGTACACAAAGTTGCCCAAGGGGGCCAGGGGTCCTTTTCATTTGGTTCTGTGGAGTTATAATTAAATAATGATGAAAGCTTTCGGAGTCCTGTCCTGTGCCTGCAGGCTCAGGGAGGAGTGGGTGGTGGCCTTAGGTAGGTGTCACCTCCATGATCCCATCTCTGCCTCAGATGTGGGAAGCCTCTGCTTGGGTAGGTAGCCTGTTTTAATCACTTTCCTCATAGCTGGGACAAAATACTCAATACTTACAACTTAAATGAGAGGAGGCTTAGTTTAGTTCAGGTTTTCTAGAGGTTTGAGCCCATGGTCCACTGGCCTCAGGTCAGGAAGGTACAGGGGAAGAGCCTGGCAGAAAAAAGCTGCTGAGAAGTTAGCTAATGGCAAGTTAGCTAAGAACCCCATAATTCAATCACCTCCCACAAGCCCAGGCATCCTCAGCCAACATGGGCATCCACATGGGTGCCCTGAGTGTCCCCAAGCCGTTTGCCTATATCCTACCTGCTTAGGCCATGCCACGCACCCACCTTGGAGTCCTGTGGCCAGGGTGTACTGGTGTGGGCCATTGCTGCAGGGAGTGTAGGCTACACCAGGCAGTGGTGAGGGGCTGCAGCCTATGCTCCCCAAGGTGGGCACTCAAGCTCCAAGCCCACCACCTCACCAGGGTCTTGGCTGCCCACAATGGTGTCAGGCAGACACCCCCCACTACAGCTGCCCACTCTGAGCTCCTCTGAGTAAAGTGGGATCAGCACATCTGGGACAGACAAGGAAATCAAGGTCCTGTGGGCACCCATCTTCAGCCTCAGATGGTATGGGCTTAAGAGGAAGACTCCAGAAATCTATACAGAAGTCCAGGACCAAGAACCTGGTAGACCAGCAAATAGGAACCAGGGTCTGAAAACAAAGACTACCCTTGGCTGTCAGGATATCTCACCTCAGCAGCCCTGGGTGAGATAGACAGTTGTAGAAATGTACAAGACTGCTGGAGAGACACCAGACAACAGACATGACTGACCCACAAAACAGAAGGGACTCACACAAATGTCTCCATGTTGAAGACATTTCTTCCTGCTCACACCATAAATTTAACATCATCCCAATAAACACATTTCTGGAACTATAACTTAGTTTATTTTTTGTTTGCTTGCCGTACAGTACTGGGGATTGAATCCAGGGTCTTCATAGAGCTTGTCTTCTGCTTTATTATTTCAAGACAAGATCTCATTAAGTTACCCGGACTGGGCTCTAACCTGTGATCCTCTAGCCTCAGCCTGCCAGGGTGCTGGAATTAAAGGCATGCACCACCAAGCCTAGCTTGGAACTGTAACACCTCTATAACATTTATAACCAAGAAACATGAGAAGAAAGTGAAAGGAGAACCATTGTGGGACCAGGAGATTCTGAGGAATCAGCACTGGAGACAGAGAAGCCACACGCATGATCTCATTGGAGGGCAGATGCCCTCATAAGGGTGCTGGGACCAAGACAGCCACTTGGGGAGGGACTCAGTGAGGTCTAACTATGTGTAGCACACTTGCATCCTCCCAAACACAGCAGGACAGTGCACACAGGGGCAAAGGAAGTGCAGATGCATTCCTTTTTAGCCCACAAGTTGTCTACCAAAACCTCCACCAAGGGATGATGGATAAGATGATGCATTCAACCACACAAATAGAAAAACAAAAACTTCAGTATGGAAAAAAAATCATTAGCAAACTGAAGGGAAATATTTGTACTATCACACAAAGATCTAAATACAAATTATATAAAGATCTAAAAATCTGGACCAGATTCAAAGTATAGCAGAAAAGTGAGCAGAAGTATCCAATAGTTCACCAAAATATATGTGCACAGTCCACAAATCTGTACACATATATATCCATGTGTGTACCTGTGTACATGTGTGCAGGTATTGCACACATACCTTGTGTATGCACAATGTTGCATACATACCTATGTGTTTGCTCACAGGTCCCACACGTGCTTGTGTATATACACATAGTGTGTGCCACACACATCTGCATATATATATGTACATGTATATTATATACATATCTGTGTGCACACATGCTGCATGTATATCTGTGTGCATACAAGTGTGCATGGATATCTCTAAGCAATGGAAAGACATTCGATTTTACTCTTAATGTCACAGGGAAATGAAATGACTCCCAACCTCTTGAATGTTAAATGTGCCAAGTTTGTGTCTGGATAGCTGAAAAATGGGTATGAGGACAAAAGAAACTAAGAATAGGGAAAGTTTATTAAGAAAGCTCCTGGGGCTGGGGGTTTAGCTCACCGGCATAAGCGCCTGCCTTGCAAGCAGGCAGTCGTGAGTTCGATCCCCGGTACCGATAAAAAGCAAAAAGACAAAAAAAAAAAAAAAAAGAAAGCTCCTGATAGGAGAGGTCCTGAAAGTGGGTTGCCACTAGGGTTTGTCTAGGGGTAATTTACACACAAAATCACAATTTATGTAACTATGAATTAAACTATAATCAACCTATAAGGGTAACCATAATAGCGGCTTAGCTAATATTGATTCAATAGGGAAGTGAAGCACATGGCAGGGTATATGGTGCACATCACTAACTTCAGTTTGTCTATAACTTCAAATGTAGAAAGAAAAGGGTGGGACTATTGTGCAGGGTGTTGTGGTCACCCATCTATGCACCTGACGCCTTGTGTGAGCTGCTTGGACCAGGTGGTGCTGCTTATAGTATGAGCTCAAGCTACTGTCTATTTCTAGGGAGGCTTGCAGGACTAGCTTTTTCCTATTTGTTGCCAGCCACAATTTGATACGTCTTGTCTTCTGTACCTACTCCACCGAGTCCTGGTTTCCCTCTTATTACCTGTAAGTTTCTGTATAATTTAGCTGTTTATATAATTTAGCTGTAAAGATAAGAAACAATACATATAAAAACTGCTTCTGGCAGACTGACATAAGTCTGGAAGGGACAAGAACTGTTGCCAAAGCTGTCGGGAACAGGCAGGGCCAAGCTGGGGAGCAAAGCACTTGCTTCTGGTTCCATCAGTCTCCATGGAAACACACCCCTGGCATCACTGTCAGCACTGTGGAGTGCACACAGGGACTCATTGCACTGGGCTTGCCAGGGCAGAGTCACCCAGAGCTGGATTCCCATACACAGGTGGCACAAGTCCCCATCAGCAGGGGACCCTGCAGTGCAGAGCACCTGACCTGACAGTGGAAGGGGGCTGCTCTGGACTGGGTTTAGGGGGAGCCAGATATTGTGGCAGTGGCAGCTCAGCATCTCCCAAACAGGGACACAATTTGGGTCATGTCGAAAAGACAAGGAAATTGAGAGTCAAAAAAGCCAAAATTGTGGGGCTGGCATGGTGGTTGGTAGTTAGAATCCCAGCATTCTGGAAGCCTTACATGGGGCACGGGGTGGAAAATCTGAGCTGGGCAACTGAGTGATTTGTCTCAGTATGTAGTAAAAAAAAAAAAAAAAAAAAAAAAAAAGTTGGAGATATGGTTCAGCGAGAAAGCACTGGGTTCAATCCCCAGAACCACAAAAAAGAAAAACCCTAATTGCTTAATACACTTTGTATTTAAAAGAACCTGAGTTCAAATCGATACTCAACAGAAAAAGCAAGGCGGGGAGAGGAAGTGGTCGCAGAGCCACCCGCCACCAGCGCTCGGTTGGTGGTGCTCCTGGCCCAGGACACTAGCTGGTGGCAGCGGCTCAGATAAGAACCGAGAAAGTGGCGCAGGCCAGTCAGCACTTTGCATCCGCCTTCCCGTAAAGCAGCCACCGCCTCGCACTCATTTTTTCCGTCCCCTCACTCTGGGCGCCTGGGCGCCTGTGTCACTGCCCCGGCAAGGACCTGCTCCCACACCTTCCCACGCTGCTCCCGCACGCCCTGGGCTCTGCGCTCCAACACGGACTGCGGCTAAGGCTGCGGTGGACCCGGGCGTGACCAGATCTCTGCCCTGTGGGGCTGAGGGTGATCAAGTCTCCTGCAGAGCAGCAGCCCCACACCAGGGTCCCAGGGTGGTCTCTGCCCCTGGCCCCAGGAAGCTCTCGAGTTTCTGCAGAGATGCAGAGTGTCCTCCAGGGGGCGATGGTGCACACCCCATGGCTGGCCCACTCCAGTTTCCCTCACAGGTGGTCTGACCTTTCGCTGTATCCTCTGACCCAGCCCAACAGCCCCACTCACCAGTGGGAACCCTCTGGAAAGCTGGCCCGAGGGTAGAGTGCACATGTGTGACACCGCCCCACCCACCACGTGGTCACACAGTCTACGATTGCTTCTGATTCTTTGTTTTTATCTCAATTTAAAACTAAAAATAGACTATCATGTGCATGGAATATTATTCTACCATGGGCAAGAATGAAGGTGTGCTCCTGTGTTCATAACTCTACTCACAACAGCCCCAGAGTCTGTCAGCAAGTCCACCCACATGACCAAAGCAATGCTGGTCAGCCCAAAAAAGGGAGGGAATCCTGGCTCCTGCTACAGGAGAGATGACCTCTGAGGATGGTGTGCTTAGTAGCCTATGCCAGTCATAAAACAACACTGCAATTCACTCATACAAGATCCACAAAGCACTGTAGTCAAAATCACAGACAGGAGCGTAATGGTGGGTGCCTGAAGCAGGAGAGGGTGATGGGGCATTCATTATCTTAGTTACTTTTCTCATTGCTGAGACAAAATACCCAACATGCAAAATGAAGAGAGGAAAGGTTTATTTAGCTCACAGTTTTTAAACCTTTTAGTCCATAAATGGCTGGCTCCCAGGCAGGATAGCCTGGCAGTGGAAGACAACAAAAGCAATGAGAGCAAAAAGGGGGAAACAAGCCTCTTTCCCCTCTTTTATCTTATTCTAGACTGCTGGGATTAGGGTGGTGCCAATCCAGCTGCTAAATCTAACTGCTCTAACAGGCACTCACCCTTAATCCCAACAGCCTTAATCCCACCATTACACTACAAATCAATCACAAACTCTAGATTCAGCTATCTCCAAAAAAGCCCCATCCAAAAGTGAATGAGGCTTTTGGGGGACATCTAGACACCAACCATAACATTCATATTTACCAGGAAAAGAGTTTCAGTTTTATAAGATGAAGAGTCAGGTTCTGGGCCAGGCAGGTCCCCTAAGGCTGCCCACTGTACTGGATGTAGACATGTGACCATCAGTGAGTGGACCTGATGGACCCCTCACTGTGGGGCCACCCACTTCAGTCTGCTGACTTCCTCATTCATCTCCAAGCCATAGCAGGGATGCTGGAGGACCACACAAGAGTTCAGGGACAGTTGGAACTTCAGAGGCAGTTTGATACAGGGCAAGGTGACCTCAACCCAGGCCCCCAGGCTGGTCACATGTCACCAGTCCATAGCCATGAAGATGGCCTCAAGATCATGTAAATATTGTCATTCACTTTCTCTTTTCTTATAGAGCTCTCATAGATGCACTTTCTTTCAACTAGCACTTTATTGTTAGTTGTTTCAATTAACACTTTATTGTTTTAGAAATGGTTTTGGATTTGCTGAAGGACAACAGACATCCTCCCTGCCTCAGACATGCAGGGGCAGCACCTGGCTCTATCACAGGGCATTGGCTGTCAGTCGTGAAAGACCTGGGATGACAAAGACTTCACCATCCAGCACAGAACAGCTTCACAATCCTGCTTACTCTCACCTTTCCCTCCCCTGAGCCTTGACTCTTAGCTTTCCCAGAATGTCACACAGTTGGAATTTCACGTTTCAGATGGCTTCTTTCACTTAGTAATAGGCAATTAAATTTCTTTCCTGTCTTTTCATGGCTTGAAAGTCCCTTTCTTTTAAGGTTGTATAATATTCCACTTTCTGGATGTAGCACAGTTTATACACAGCTTTTAATGGACAACTTGGTTGCTTCTGCATGTTATCAGTTATGAATAAAGTCACTATGAACACCATGTGTGGGCTCTCACATGGTTTTAAGTTTCTGAACTTTTAGATAAATCTGAGGAACACAACTTCCAACTTTTATGGTCAAAGTGAGTTTAGTTTCTAAGAAGCCACCATTGTCCACCAAGGCACCTCTCTGCACCCCAACCCTCAGAGCCCTAGCACCTGGTGTGGTCCAGGCTCTGCCTCTGGCTGTTCTTTCTGTTCCGATGTCTCTTTCCCTGACAATCCATGATGCCCCTGCTCATGCTGACCATCTGTGCATCTCCACTGATGAAGTGTCTGTTTGGAGCTTATGTCCATTTCTTAATCAATTGCTTGTCTTCTCATTGTTGAGTTTTGGTTTTTTTCTGCTCTGCTTTGCTTTGCTTTGTTTAGTTGTTTAGGTATTTTGGATACTAGTCCTTGATCAAAGACAGATTTTCCAAAGATTTTCTCTCAGTCTGTGGCGTGTCTTTTTGTTTTGTTGAAGAACAATATCAACTTTTCTCATCAATCTTTCTTCCAGAGACCAGGCACTTCCCCCCACCCGCATACCTAACAGCTCCAGCTCTCTCGTGGGAAAGACATGCATGTCCCCAAGGCACAGGAAGGGCGGTGTTGTGGCACCTGGGAACCTGGACAGGGCAGAGGTCTGATGCTGTCCTCAAGACTCGGGATATGGAATTTTGTCCCACAGTGTTGGCCAGGGTTCACTGGGAAAGCCATCTAGACCTGGTATAGTCACATTTTAAAATATGGGTTCAATTTCCTTAAGATTTTTAGTTTCTCCATTTCATATTGCATCAGTTTTGATGTCACATTTTCTAAGAATTGTCCATTTTATCTAAATTCTCAAGTCTATTAATATAAGGTTACTCTTGATGACTTTTTGAAATCTTTGACTATCTGCCTGATCTTCAGTACACACCTTCTCATTTCTGATACTGGGTTTTTTGGGGGATTTGTTTGTTTGTTTTGTTTTGTTTTTTGGTACTGGGGATGGAGCCCAGGGCCTTCACACTGAGCTACACTCCTGTCTTTTTCGTTGTTGTTGTTGTTGTTGTTGTTGTTGTTTTGAAACAGAGTCTCGCTGAATCACTGAGTTGCCCAGGCTGGCTCAAATTTGCAGTCCTCCTGCCTGGGCCTCTCAGAATGCTAGGATTACAGACATGCACTGCCACACCCTGCTTGGCCCAGGATGTGTGTGTGTATGTGTGAATTTTCATGAAAAGCCTCATCAAATGCTTATCAGTTTTATTAGTCTTTTTAAAAAAAAAACAACTTTGGGCTTTATTTCCTGTATGACATTTTCAGTGTCACTATTTTGTTACAATCTTCATTATTCCCTTTCTTCTATTTTCTTTGGATTTAACTTTCTGTCTCTCTTATTTCTTTTTTTTTAACAGATGATTTATTTACTTATTTATGTTACTGAGGATCAAACTCACCACCTCTCACTTGCCAGGCAGGCGCTTATGCTGCTGAGCTAAACCCCCAGCTTCTTTCTTATTTCTTGAAATTAATGATTATCAGTCTCTCTTTTTTTCTAACATACACATTTTAAGACTGTATATTTCCCTCTAAGCCTGCCTTTGGTTTCCTTCTCAATTTTTGTGCAACATATGCATAATTAGCCTCAAAATATTTTCTGATTTCCACTAATTCTTCTTTTCAAGAACAAGTTATTTAGAACTGTATTTCTAAACACATGAACATACTCAATTATCTTTCACCTTATTTTTATTTCTAGTCAGTTTCACTGTAATTCTGAGTCCTCTGAAACTTGCAGAGACTTGGCAGTGTGGCCTCACACAGTGTCAGTGCTCATACTTCCCTGAATAAAAAAGGTGTTGAGACAGCAACAGCTTGGTGCAGAATTCTACCGAGCTACATCAGTGAGCTTGCTGTCCCCAGGCCGGCAGAATCTTCTCTCTTAACTGATTTTCTTGTCTGCTTCCTCTGTCAATTACAGAGAGACCTGAGTTATAAAGTTTCCACAACAAGTGAGAATCTGCCTATTTCTCCCATGTCATGACTGTCTAGATGTCCCCTCCAAAGCCTCTCGTGGTCATAGGTGGGGCTTTTTCAGAGTGTGTGAAGCTGGTTCCAGATGTAATGCTAGGACCAAGGGCACTAGGATTAGGGGTATGAGTACCATCCACCCTAAGTAGCCTGGACATAATATAAGGCTTAGAAAGAGCTGTGGCCATCCCTTGCTTGCTTGGCTACCTTCTGCCCACCATGAACTGTTTCTCCTTTGCAATACTTACCTACTGTGCCACTCTGCCTAGGAGCCAGCCAACTATGAGTTGAAATCTCTACAAACTGAGCCAAATAAACCTTTCCTCCCTTAACTGTGGGTACTGGGTATTTTGTTTCAGCAACAAGAAAAGTAACTAACACACCCAGTAAGTACTTTTGCTCTACACTCTTAAGCACAGTATTAGCTCCACATGATCTCAGCAGTGTTAGCTCCGTGTGATTTTAGGTTGCTATGGCTGTCTGTGAATCTAACTCCTGTCCATCTGAACTACTCTTTGGCTGCTGGCATTGTCTGCCACCCTTTCCTCCAGCTTTCTGTATGCCCATCTGCTGTCATGCAGTATAGTTGTGTTTGGGATGGACTTTTGTATTTTGGCGTTTCCCAGCATACCCATTTTTGCCTTTTTACTGGAATATGAGTCCATTTACGTTTAGTGCAATTCCAATATGTTTTGGCTGCTTTAGCTGCCTCAATATTTGCTGTTTTTGCCTTCCCATTCGATGCATATTTCCCACATTCCCTGCCTATTTTGAGTTGTGCCTTCTCCCACACATCCCCTCTGCAATGTAGGGTCACACAGTCTTCCGTCCCTCAGCACTAGTCCTGGAGAGTACTTCACATGTCCCTTCTTTGGTGACATAAACTGCCTTTTTTAACCTTTTCTTGGACAGTACTAGGATCTCAGAGCATTTTGGTTCCAGTTCTTTCACTCTACCTGGTGCTCTTTTTTGTTACTGTGCAGTGAGACCCAAAAGCATGACTGTCATAACCATGTATCTTTCACACTCCCCTAATCAAACTGCTTGTGACAAAGCCAGGCTGAATCTCTCCGTCTCTGTCTCTGTCTCTGTCTCTGTCTCTCTCTCTCTCTCTCTCTCTCTCTCTCTCTCTCTCTCTCTCTCTCTCTCTGTCTCTTTTGTTACAGGGCTCGAACTCATGACCTTGAGCCTGTCAGGCAGGTGCTTATGTCCCAGGCTCTCTTGTGTGCGTAAAAATACCATCATTTTGCCTTGATCTCGAAGGACGTTTTTGGGCATGGTGTTTTTCCCCCAGTACCTTTGAAGATTCCTTTTTGCTGTCCTCCCTCCCCATTACTCCTGCTGGAAGTCTGCTCTCCACAGGAGTTGCCCTCCTGCACCATCTATCACTGTGACCCATTCTGGGCTTTGCCCTGGCCTTGGATTTCATAGCTTTATTAGGGGAGCTCAGGTAGGTGTTCTTTCCCTGTGGTTTGTTTGGCTGAGGTTCCAGGCAGCCACAGGCACTGAGGAGCTGCAGCTGCAGACCAGACCCACCCAGCACTTCCCTTTCAAGATGCTGGACCCCACTGGCTCCTTCAGGTGGAAGTTGAAAAGCTAACGTAGACTGCCCATTAGCCAATCCCAGTGGACAGGGCTGGTACCAACAAGGCAGCCAACAGAGGAGGCTGGATGTCCTCTCCTTCTATTCTCACCTCTGCCATCTGCACCAAGCATGGAGGGGAGCACAGTTTAGGGCAAAGAGGTTGGGATAGGAGTCAGATAAGCACACTGGAGCACTGGACCTTCCCTGGGTTTTGATGGGGAAAGAAACGTTCACTCACATACAGGCACGATTCCTTTATTTGTCATTCATATGCCAGAAAGTAGCCAGAGATCAAATGTTAAGAGAAAACCAGCTGAATACAATGGAGCAGTACCCTGTGCTCATGGGGCCCCACTGCCCCCGCCCCCCAAATTGTGGTGGTCACTTGGCCAGCACCTCCCACAAGGTCCAAACCTTCCCCTTCCAAGGAGCTACCCATCCTGGAGCATGATGGTCCTGAGACTCTTAGAGCAGCAGGTGCCCACCAAGATTATCTCTGCAACCTATGGAAAAGCTGATGCAGGTCTCTTTCCATCTGGGGTCATGTGGTCTTGTAGTCATCACCTCCATCTATTGAATCTCTCTGTCTTTGGGTGCCTGCAGCTGGGCCCATCAGGAGGGCCGGCAGTGCTTCCAAGGCTTGCTCCTGTGATGGAGCAACTCAGGGTCCCCTGACACATTCTCCAGGACCTCTCCCAGGGAGAACATGCAGAAGGAAATATCTTCATAGGAGACCCTGGACCCACTCTCAAATAGACAGGCAAAGGCTAGGGTTGGGCCAGGCACAGACCCAAGGGTCGCCAGGTCTGAGTACCCACTGGGGCCTTCATAGATCACCCAGGGCTCAGTCCAGCTCTGGGGGTCTAGGGGAGACCGGCTCAAGTAGATGCCCATGCGGATTCGCGCTCTGTGCCCTGCTGGGTGCGAATACAGAAGCCACGTGGACTTCTGCAGTGAGGCCATGGAGGGCAAGGAGAGCAGTGGGGCATAAGTTCCCTCATCTCCACCAAGCCCAGGCTCTGGGCCAGGCTGCTCCTGGCTATCCCTCCAGTGCTGTAGGTGGCAGAAGGGCCCACTGAGGGACTCCTGGACTCCAGGACAGAGGTAGGGAGGGTTTGGGCCCTCTTCCCTGCTGGGGACTGGGGCTGGGAAGCCTATGATGCTGCCCTGGCAGCCCCGGGCAGTCTCCGACAGGGTAGGCACAAGCTCCGCAGGCAAGAAGGAGGTACCCTCATCAGGGCTGAGTGCCTGCACACGGCTGCCTAGAGGACTTCGGGCATTGCAGTAGAGGAAGCCCCCATCCACTGCAGCCAGCTGGCACTCGCCTGAGCGCAAGTTAGGCACCAGGCCCCCACAGTGCCAGGTGCGGCCCTGGTCATCACTGTAGATGGTGAAGGAATGGGGACTAGTCCAGCAGACCTTGCCAAAGCACTCCCGGCGGTCCACGCGGTAAGTGTAGGCAGGCACCAGCAGGCGACCTGAGTGCAGCTGGACCCCATGGCCTGGGCCCACAGCGAAAGTGGCCCAGTCTGCAGAGAGGAGGCATACAGTGAGAGGCTGCTGGAACCCACACTAGAGTGAGGGACAGGGAGTCTAGCCAGTGCCACAGGCTTGGACTCCCTGCGTGACCTGAGTCTTTGAGGCTGGACAAGCCTTGTGGGACTGTCCACAGAGGTGATGGAGCCCACGTGGCCAGGTATGAATATGCCTGGGTGTGATTGGTGCAGGGAATGGAAATCAGGGCCTTGAATGTGCTAGGCAAGCACACAGCACCAAGCCCTCAGCCTGAGCCTAGGCCAGGCCCTACAGCATTTGGCCACCCCAAATCAAATGAGTGATCACAAGTGGTGTCTGGGGAGAGCAGTTATGCATGAAAACCTCACCACAAGTATCTGGGTCAGCCCTGCATCCTGCCTGTGTCCATATACACCATGGTGTGGTGCCCATGTCTGGGGCTGGATAGCCAAAGCCCACAAGCAAGAGTCAGAGCAGCTGTGGACAGTCATGGGCAGTCAGCTCCTGGACTAAGGAGGGGGCAACACAGGTGGGGAAAAGCTCAGGCCCCAAGACTCTGGGCTGGGCCCCTTCAGGCCAGGTGAGGAAACGGAAGAGGGAAAAGGAAGTGGTAAAGGAAATGGAAAGGCCGTTAGGTTTGGGGTACTCACTCCTGGCCCCGCCTCTCCCCGCCTATGACCCCTCCTCAATGCCCCCCACCCCACCACCGCACCCCCCTCCCCCGTCTACCCCGCACCTCCTCTGGCCCCGCCCCGTCCCGCCACACACACATCCTGCACGGTCCAGGACCAGTCCACGTCCCTCAATCCAGCCCGATATACAGCCTTCACGCTGCCTCGGTCCCGGCCCCGCCTACTCTGCAACCCAAGCCACAAGCTTATACCAGGTTCTTCGGCAACCCCCGCCCTGGCCGCCTACCATGAATGAGGGTGCCCACTGTCTCCTCCGTGAGGTCCCGAGTGCCTTCCCAGGTGAGGCCCGCGTCGCGGCTAGTCACGCAGCAGAGGCGAGCCGCGTTCCTGCCGGTGGCGATCTGCACGGCCTCCGGCGTCTCGCCTAGCACAGCGATGAAGAAGAGGAAGACCGTCCCCGAGCCCGCGTCGAGCACTGGGCAGGGGTTCATGGAACGGTGCTCCTCCAGAGCGGCCGTCGCCAGCACACGGAGGGCGCCCCACTGCGGGAGAGGAGAGAGGCTGCCGTGGGCACCCAGGGGCTGGCCCTCCCCTTTCCCGCCGCCCCCGCCCCCGCCCCGCCCCACTCGCCTGCACCCCGGCTTCAGCGCCCTGCCCCCATTCACCTGCACCGCGCCTGCGGCCACTGCTCCGCGCCGCAGCACCAGGCGGTGCGCGTGGGCGTCGTCAGGGCTGCGCCGCTGCTCCGCGAAGGCCAGCAGCGTGGGCCCAGGCGGTACGGGCAGCAGCGCCGGCACGCGGTAGGTCAGGCCAGTCCGCTCACGCCGGAACAGCACGGTCCTCGCAGGTGCGCTGGAGGCGCCCATGCTGTACGGGCAGGGGTCACGGCAGTTCAGGCCACTCCCACGCTCAGTCCCACCCTGGGCCACCACATATACACACCACACACAGAAACACAGAGGGTTCGCAGCAGAGACCCCTTAACTCATCCTCAGCCACAGGAGACCAGCCACCTCTCCCCAATGGCTACCTCATGAGCCTGAGAGCCAGGACAGCACAGGATACAGGGCTGCAAGAGGATCCCAATAGGCCAGTGAGCTCTTGACACCAGCAGAGGGCAGCAAGACAGGGAGGGGACCCCTCTCTGTCTGGAGAGGATGAGGCTGCGGAGAGCAAAAGGGTGGACTAGTGGGCAACTTTTCTGGGTGAGGAACTCCCAGTTACTAAACCTTTGCGGGTCACTGCCCCCTCACCCACAGGACGAATCTTGCAGGGGACAGGCTCCCTATGACAGGCACCCTGCTAGGACAGCTCTCTCCAGACACATCCCCATCAGTAGGGCCCTGACCTGAGGAGCATCCAAAAACCTTCAAAGGAAGCAAGCCAGGAGTATTTCGGCCTCCCAGGAGCAGCTCGAGTCTGAGCTCACTCCTTCCCCAGTAAGCCCCTGCATCAGTCACAGGTTGGACCTGCCAGGGGACTTTCCCCTATACTGAGGCCAGTCAGACAGTGGGGAAATAGGTGTAGTGCAAGGAAATGGGGAGGTCCTGTGCTCTGGGCAGGGAAGGGGTTCCCTTTGTGCAGAACACAGCTATCAACCCTCAGCCATCATACCCAGCCACGGACCACCCACCCACCCAGAGGTCACTAACTAGACACCACAGCATGCATGAGAACTGTGACCCTCACAGGGGTCCCAGGATGGAGGTGAGTCGGGGGTGCACACTCACGTAAACAGGAACTGGCCTTGAGGATGCTGAGGACTGTGCCAACCACCTCCAACCCCAACCCAGGTCCTCTGCCTCTGCCACGTCTGCCCAGGCAGCACACTGGCCTCTGTCGACCCTACCACCAAGTCTACTTCTAGGGTACTTCCTGTCTCCTCAAAGGGCAATTGTGCTCAAGCAGGAGCAGGTGCAGGCTGCATGTGTTCCCAGGCAGAATAGCACAAGGAGACATCTCTCTGCAGCTGGCCTGCCCCCCAAAGTCAGGGACTGTGGGAGGTGGGGGAGGCTGGCACGTGCACAGCCTGCAGAAGCAGGTGCCAAGGGCCCCCAGCCTGGGAATGGAGCAAGAGAGATGATGCTCCAGGACAAGTGGTCACTCTTGTTGTACACAGGAAACTGAGGCCTGCAGAGGGACAAAGCTGCCACATCTGAGAGGCATCCTTACCCAGGTTGACCTTCAGTGTCCCCAGAGCCTCAAGGTTCTGGGGGATGTGCAGCAGTTTTGGAGGAGCAGCTCCCAAAGCCAACTTTGCTGTGCAGTTAGTTGGTCCACTGCAAGGCTTTGGCTTGTCCAGAACAGCTGTGCCGCAGTACAAACTAGTGCCACCCCTCTCCTTGGCACTCTGAGTCACAGAGGGGAAACTAAGGCCCAAAGGACATGGGGTCTCCTGGACAACCTGTTTCTCTGGCATGTGGGCCCCAGGACATGGTAAGGTATCAAGGTCTAGGCCCAGGACCACCAATTTCCAGCTTAAAAGTACAATGATAGAATAAAACAGATGAGACATATATTTTACTTACAAAGGACAAAGTACCAGGACAGTGTCAACATCGGGCTAAGACCACAAGACATGGTGTCCTTGGCCTTTGTTAGATGTACAGCTTGATGGGAATGTGCTGGTGGGCTACAGGAAGCAGTGCAGGTGAACTGCTAGGTTGAACAATTGGGGAACAATTTTGGGAAATCACACAGGAACAGATCATGGTTAACTAGTAACCTGATTGTCTGCTAACTGGATTACTGAGCTAGACAGAATTTGCATGAGTGAAAGTCCTCAGCTGCCATATGGTTTTTCTTTGAGGTGCCAGAACTTCCCAAGCTGTTTCTTGCCTTAGCCTTGGCCATTGGGTTAAAAATTAATTTTTCCCTAAGCTAGCCAGGGGCCTCACCACAAGCTGAGTAGGCCTAGGACAAACTTTCCATTTATTTTTGTGCCAACTTATTAATATTAGTTATTGCCTGCTTGTATTGCATCAAGTTGGTTCTCAGTAGTAAGGGTCATCTCTGATCCAGCCCAGGGACCTTGCAGCCTTCGGGCCTGCATGTCTTTGACCCCATTGGCTCACTACAGGGCGTGATCATGAAGCAGAGGGGCCTCTGCTTGACCTCAGCAGGGGTCCTTGGGGATCTATCTCCAGGCTACACCTCTAGTGTCCTGGATACTGGCCAAGGAGAGAGCAGAACTGCAGCCCTTCCCCTCACAGAGGTTATACTGCACTGCCAGTTACATAAAGTCATACAAGGGGACAGTCCCCAGCGTTGGGCCCCACCATGTGCACCTGCATTCACCATCTCATTTGCCCCAGAACTTAGTGTCACTCACCACATGGGCTGGAAAATCTCCCATGGGAGTACCATGTGGGATCTCGGCCGAAGGCTTCTTAGGGCCCATGCCAGCCTTTCACCTTGGAGGGTGCTCTGTAAGGATGCAAGAGTGGGCTCAACCATCACCCCCAGGCACAGAAGCAACCTCAGGGACATACAAGGCTGAGCAGGAATGGGAGCCTCCTGCCACTGTGGACCTGAATGGGCAGTTGCCCTGCCCCAGGGCCCACTGTGTGGAAGCCCAGAGCCAGGCCCGGAGTGCAAGAAAACACAGCATACAGAGGGTAGCGTGTGGCCCAGGGAACAAAGCTTACTCTGCCAGGTTCAGGACAAGGGAGGGACCTGCCAACCACAGCCACGCTGTGAAGCACCAAGGGTACCTGGAGTCATCACCCCCATATGCACAAGGGTACTAGGCACAACACAGTCCCAGTGTCTCTGTTCTTCAGTGTCATAGGCAGACCCCACAGGTTGCAACTCCGCATCACATTCCTTAGCCTCAAAGGTCTCAGGGACCCATGCCAACCCCAACTTCCTGAGCCTCTCAGGCTGCAGGGTGACCCCTACCTGGTACCAGCTGCCTCCAAGGGTTCCTGCCAGTCCCACCCTCCTGTGTCTGTGGGGCACTCTTGGGCAGCCTAGGTCCCCTAATGTGGAGTTGCCACCACTTCTGAGATGTGGGACTGCAGCAAGGGGCTCTGGGAAATGAGACTGATTCACACCCATTTAGGCCTTCCTGCCATGGCATCTTCTGTCAAGTCTAATGCCCTCTCTTTGGCAGGGGCTCCATGCTCATGCTGGAGTCTGATTTGTATGTGGCCTTCTTAAATAAATACCTATGTACTCCTTAGACAATGAAGCCGAGTACCTTCTGGTATGAGGACACGGAAGCACCCAGATTTCTACAGAAGTCCTATTCTGCAAGGACCTTGAGGGCCTTCTCCAAAATTCTCTTGTGGTTCTGGATACCTACCTTAATATTTTGTTTGATAGGCATGCCTCATGTAAATTCGCGGCAGTACTTTATTTTGGTTTATTTTGCCATGGATCATAAGTGATTTGATTACTGAACCAAACATAGTGGCCATACCTAGAGTCCCAGTTACTTGGCAGGCTGAGGCAGGAGGATCACTTGAGTCCACAAGTTGGAGTACAGTGTGGGCAATATAACAAGACATGTACACCACCCTCAGCTTAGAAACAAAAAACCCAGCTATGAATGATTTGGCTCTTTAACTTTTATCCTCTCTATATGTTTCTGAAAATCTTCTAGGAGTGAAAACAACCACTCCAGACAATTATTAAGAAGGAAATAACCACAAGATGGTCAGTGAAAAGCTACAGGCACGAGCACTTCTCATCTCTGTTTGTGAAGATCTCCTGATGACAGGCAGACAAGATCACCACAAGATAACTTTGGTGCAGCTAGGAAACCCAGTCATAGGTGACACCAAATGGGAAAAGGACATCTGTCAACTAAAACAAATAAAACTCTGGGCTAGACATTGATCAAAGCAAAATATTTTGCCCAAATCCTTAAAATTCTAATCTTGGGAGATGGATCAACAGCAAAGTGGGATCCCAGAATTCTAAGGCATCCCACTAAGAGCATCGTAGAACCCCAGCAGTCTATGTAGTGTTTCTTCCTCATACACAGTTTTTGGTGTTTAATTTTAAATCAGTGAGAAAGGATGTTTCTTAAACTGCAACCCATGGTTAACACATATAGATTGCAGGTTCTTTAACTGTGTTGTTGTATTATTGTTTTCTTGCCTATTTTGGGTCTGTTGACTTTTTCCTTATATTATGATTAAAGATGAAATCAAAATAGAGCAAAGCCTGGTAAAAGTCTCTCCATGACATTTCAGCCAAGATAAGGAAAAGAAAACAATTTTAAATTAATGACTTGGCAATGTAGACACAGGATAGCTCTTTTGGGAACAGAAGTCCAGTTTTCTTGGAGAACAGTGACCCAGTCTAATAAAACAGCTTTGCCTTTTTCAAACACTGTCATGTCTAAGTCAAAACCCTAAGCACAGAGCAGTAGAAAAGATCTCTGTCCAGCACAAAAATTGCTTTGTGTGTCACATGGATCAGAAAAACAAAAATGAAAAACAGCAAATAATTTTTTAAAAGCCATTTCTAACATATTTTGCCTATGTTGATTAGTCAAACAAACCATATCAGCAGACCAAAAAAAAGATAATTGTGTTGTTAAACTCAGAATTGGTTAGACAGTTGTTATGTCAGTAGGTCCTGGCTAAAGCACAAACATCTGGCAAGTGCTTCCTGGTCTGAGATTTTAAAAATGAGGGGAAAGGGTAAAAGAGGTTTTCTTTAAAACAAAGCTGCTATGGGAACTGCTTTACCCAAAAATCTGGTCCACAGCCTTCTTAAGATTACCTGCTATCAGGGCAAATGAAAACCCTGGAGTTTAATTGTTTGACCTATGACCTCAACACTTTGTCAAAAGGCATTGCCAGTCTCTGTTGTGACTTCTCTCTTGGGATGGATGTGCTCGTTGCCTGCGGCTTTTTTCAGTATGCTTTCCATGGTCCCGGCTTCTACAACTTCCTGTGGTCTCCACTGTACTCTCAGCTTTATGCACAGCTTGACACGCTGCACTCTCAGGGACACACTGCTTGGACTAACCCTTCTGAAATCTGGGCGGAAGTGTCCCTGATTGCAACTCTTGCATACTGTGTACCTGTAAAACCAGCATTATGTGAATAATCCGAAGGTCTGCCATCAGCTAGAACAGTAGCCAGATCACCTTGAATTATCTAAGTGCCTAGATGGCTGAATGCTGTGAACTGAATCCCAGAGAAACAATTTTCTAGGCAGCCTTTCTCTAGCAGTATGCTGGAGGTGGGAGGGTGTCCTCAAAGCAAAGTCTTTCATCTTCAGGGTTCCTATCTTCCCACAATTTGCCTGAGGGTCTGGACATGGAACAACAAAATGTAATATTTGCTTTGCAGGGTTTTAGTCTGGTTGTAGACTGACATTTTTTTACCTAGTAATTTCTCCCTTTTGAAATGAGACTATTTACAACCCATTCAAAAATATTTAACTTTCTTGATTATTTTTACAGGGGTTCACAGCTAAGAGTTTGCCTTGAGTCTCCAGGGAAACTTTGAACTTGGACATTTCAGGAATCGTGGAACTGTTAGGACTTTTGCAACTCTTGGACATGAACTGAATGTGTTTTGCTGAATGACATAAGCATGAGCCTATGGGTTCAGGAACAGAATGTTTTGTTTAGATCAAGAATATAACACAAAGACCAGGCATTTAGCTTAGGAGTACAGGCACCTGCCTGGCAAATGTAAGGTTGACAGTTCAATCCAAGGAAAGACTGTTCCATAAAGTCTCATGCACTGAGATGTGGGGCTTTTGGAAAGCCATTGAAGCATAGAAGTGATAAAGCCCACTTGCTGTTGGGAGGCAGGGTCTGCTCCCAGGTGATGGGTCGGGGGGGGGGCTGTAGTCTAGAAGGGTGAACCTCCCTCTCTGGCTCATCCCTTCTCTCTGCTTTCTGGCTGC